AAGAGTGTTAATTGATTTAAACGTTTCAAATTTCATTCCTCCTACCTCCATGAACCCACAAGAGAATCGAATAATCACGCATAAAACCTGAAACAGAAAAAATCCCCACGTCCAGTGACGTTAGAAAACACCGTTTTGGAGATGGACGGACCATACAATACCAGCCGTCACATGGGGAACTAGCACAGGGTTATCATGGAATTTACTTCAATTCTTCGGTCCACTGTTTTTTCCTTGCTGCTTTTATGGGAAACCTGATGCAACAGAGTAGCTAGACAGTGCAATTTCTTGGATTTCGATCCATTTCCTTCTGTAGGGTTTTCCTTCATTGTGCATTCTGTTCTTGGATGGGACATTAATTACCCAAGTTAATCTTAAGATTTGAAGATGCACAGTCAGTCATCAGATGACCGCAAATTGGAAATTGTATCTGGAGTCAAGGACGTGACATCAGTAGCACAAACATTGCCCTTGAACACCTCGACGTCACGTGTGGTCGTTAGTCAACAGAAATTACTTCCAGACTCTCAGCATGCAGTTTTACTTGCCAGTGGTTCCGTTCCACTGGGCACCTCTCTCAGGTTAATTTTTATTTGCATACAAGTACCAATTGGTGTTGCAGCATTTGCGTACAAACACTGCTATACATACCTGCATAAGCTTTACATCAACTCGAAGTAATTTTGTCACATGGCAGTTTTCCTTTCCAGTTATTTTCTAGCTAACATAAGTTCCAGAAATTTTTTGGATTTTCAGCCATCCTAATAGATGAAGAAGACTTGTTATTCAAGGTTGATGGTTGACATTCTTTCTTGTTGCTTACAATCAACCTATTCCCAATACTTCGTAGTATACCGTTGGCCGTTAGCACTGTAGATCTGTAGAACAACTTGAATTTCAGAGATTTTGTGAACGATCTAGACAATTATGTGCCAACAATACCCGATGCTGTTACAATCCATTATATGAAGAAGAGTGGGGTCGATTGTGCAGACTCACGGGTTATACGTTTATTCTCACTTGCAGCTCAGAAGTTTACCTCGGATATTATTTTGGATGCTATGCAACAGGTATTTCCACTTTATTCTTTGTGCAGATCAAGGGAATAACTAAGTATCTTTTTCTCAGTCACAAAGAAGTTCGAATTTTTTTTTTTATTCTCTACAAAAGAAATTTTGGTTCTGTAATTAGAGAAACTGTAGAAATAATGTATTTCCCTTAATAATGACTTTAAATGCACATTATTTTCTCTATAGCAAGAAATAATGTCATTTTGCTTAAATGAATTGCTTAGTTACATCGTTTCAACTTAACATTAAGGCAATTTTGAATGTTGTGATTTTTTTAAAACATTATTTTCATGTGTATGAGTCGCTGTTCTTCATTTCTCGGAAAAAATTTAGGCACGCATGAAAGGATTGGGACAGACAAAGAAAGGTACCAAAGAAACACGTTACACGTTGACTTCAGAGCTACTAGAGCCCGTGCTTGCTGAATATGGTATCGAGCTGAAAAGGCCACCTTATTTTCATTAACTGCAACTGAATAATTATGGAATACATAAGGCGTAGAATATTGAGTCTTGCATGCTTTGTATGATATTTCGTTTACTTCAATTTGTTAGTGTATATGCGTCCATCATTTTATTGTCTCTCTGTTCACTAAACTGTTGAATTATTTTGAGTTTCCCTATGATTATTTTGAGTCTCCCTACATCTCCCTATGATGCATACTGACCACTCTTCCATATATGAATTCTTCCTCTTCCTCCTATCACTCAGAAACTGTTGCAATTAGGAAACCTTCGAATACGATGTCCTAATTTTTAAGTCCCAAAATTGTTCAGGTCGCAGTTTTTGGTGTTTCCTTGTGGAAAGTTTTCGTTTTTCAATGAAACTGCCATTACTAGTAGCATCTTTCAAAATAATTCATGTCTGGATGTTCCATATCCTCCACATTTTTTTTTTTTGAGAGAGACATATTTCTGAGTAATTTCTGTTGTAAGAAGTTCAATATTATGAGGAAATTGAAACTTTCAACTAAAAGTGGTGTTTTTGCAAATAAATATACGAATTTCATAATTTCTGAATACTGGTAAGGCTTTAATTTATATGGATGCAATGATTTACTGAAATGTCCAAGAAATAAAACTGCGAAAGGAATTTCCAGGAGGCAGTGATGAAACTTAAAGTGTTTGTTTATAAATCGTACCGAAGTGTGACCGATTTAGCATGTCGATTTTGTAACGGTGAATCCGCAGTCCACGTTGTTGATCCTCTGCTGGATTTACGTTATCGTTTTGAAGATATGGAAGGGCTTAAATGCATGATTGAAGCAAGGTACGCTTAAAATTCAAACTGAACTATCTGGTAGAATATATTCTGGTAGATTAATAAAGAGAATAGGACTTTTAAGAAAGTTGAGGCCCGCTAAGACGTCGAATTTTTTTTGGAGCGGGGTTTTTGTCATCTGTTTTGTCTTTACGGTATTTTTAAGCATTCATTGTGAAGTTTCTGTCGGTTTGCAAACTTCAATTTTATAGTTTATTTGATACTGAATCTATGAGCTTTTATTGCGATATCGTCAACAATAGTAGGGTTGAAGTGCTTATAATTGATTACCATTTTATTATGTACAGTTATTGCAGCTTTCAAATATTTAGTGAAGACAATTGTCGTTTTAGGAAATTGAAAGTTGATGTTGAAAGCGTTGCTGCGAATTATCACAGATGGTGGGATGCTTATGCGAAGTGGCGTGATTCTGCTGTTGAGGTGCGGCTTTTGTTAATTGATTTATCTAATACTAAAATAGTTTCATTTCGAACAATTTTTTATTTTACTCATAACTAAGTTTATGCGTAAGTTTTATTCTTAATTCTATAAAACTGTTTAGTCGCAAGCAGGGAATGTGTCGTATGACCGCGAATTGAGACAACGTATGCTGAACGAAAGTGAGGGACTGCTGGACGCTTTGAGATTACCTAATGATTTATCAGCATGCACTGTTCATGGAGTTATCGTTCCCTTGATTAAAGAAGTTGACAATGAACAAAATAACAAACATATGTTTTTTTTGCAAAAATCGGGTATTATTAAGGTATCATCTTCACCAAATAAATTTTTTGTCTCAAAATAGATTGTCATTCATTTGAATTCAAATATGATTGAATGTAAAAACCAAATTTTGGGATAGGCTGAAAGATTTTGTTTGATTTTATCAACTGAAAAATCACATCAGAATAGATATAATTTCGTTCTTTCCAGGTAGAATCTTCACTTTCAAATGCTCATCTCATAGGACTCCCAGCCCGTTTGCAGTATTTCCTTCAAAAATTATTCCGCGCAGAATTTACTGGGAATATTCTCAATGTAATAGCTGTAATGATGCTGATTTGGCTACATTCGCTAGTAGCTGAAAATTGTACTCCGAGATTCCGAATCAGTCGTCGTATTAGCCGTCGTACTTTTGATTAACTTCTCCAATTAGTTATTCTTTATAGGTTAACTGTAGTTCTGGGCTCTACTGATCTAATACAGCTGACTATGTACATATAATTTCTCGAAATTCAACTTCTGCATAAGAAATGGTTAAGCGTTTCGGAATTATTCTTTTTTGAGTACAATTTTTAGGTTTCTCCACCTCATTTTGTACGTGGTGCAATAATTGATGGTGTGAATATGTCGAAGGAGTCTTTTCCACAATTTACCAGTGATGCGCACAAAAGATCATTGCTTTATTTAACAGGTGGTTTTTGGTCGATTATTTTATGTATGGTATATCTATTTTTAATTTATTTACTTTGTTATTCCTCCACGAAAAATTGTGAGTTTCATTACTATGAGGAACTCGCAAGTAATTAATATTATAAAAATGCTGTTATTTTGGTAATGCTGATATTTTATATTTCCCTGTAACTTTTGCTAAAGTAGGAAAACATTGTTTTATATCAAATGGACGAACACTTCAAGTACTTGGTAGCTTAAGCAGTGGATGAAAGGAATTGAACACTTTACATTATTAATTTATAAGTACCTTCATAACTTATTATTCGATTACTTATCATTTTGAAACCAAAACAGAAATCTTTTGTCGAATTAATTCTAATACTTTCTGAGCCACAAAATTTTAGTTGATTTTTCAAAGGAACTAAAGTGAAAGGGATTTTTTTTTTTTGTGGCAGATTATACAAATCTCTATGTTTTACTGTCGCTATGCTTTAGCTGCTCCTTTATGATTCGAAGCTGAATATCTTGAAATACACTTTGTGAAACCATAATCGATTTTTATGAGTGAAGAGTGATAAAAAGGAGGCAGTTCAAATGCTTGAATTAGCAAATTAACCACAAGAAACGGTAATTCCAGGCCATAGCATTCCTTCGCTGGTTGCTCTCTTTGTGAAGAAATCCTTGGTAATGAAGACGAATAGATGGCCTCTTCGTTTGTTGAGCAATGGAGCTTCTTATGGCATCCCAGGTAGCGTGCCATCTTCCATGCTTAATTTGAACAATATTTCACAGCGATCGAAGACAATCCTGCTGTCACTCTGTAGAACGCAAGAGGAAGAGGATACTGAATATAAATTTCTGACTGAATCAGTCCAGGCAATTTTGAAAAACAAATTATCTCTAGAAATCGCTTCATCCTTTGTTCCTGCTCATAAATTATTAAATTTCGAATCTGCTGCAACTGGGTTATCAATTTCAACTGGAATTGAGGTGATTGTTTTCTTTTTTTTTTTTTTTTCAAGCATATTCAGTATGTCCGGCTTCTATTCTTCAGATATGAAAAGCAGAAATTTAAAATGATATAAGCTGAAAAACTCGTTTTTTTTTTCACAAGTTCAATCAGTTTTTTCAAAGAATTGTTACAACTTGATACTTCTTGCATGAGGATTATAAGGGTGATTTGGATAATACTGTCAGTTCTTCAGCTTATAAAAAATCTTTTCAAACTGTATCAGTTTGTTACTTGAAAAAATTTCTAGTTCATTCACTGTATGCTTTATGTGATTTATTCGTCGCTTCATTTTTTTTGTGTGCTCCTATTCTGGTTATTATAGTGTAGTACAATTGTGGGCTATCTGGGAGAAGTATCATATTAGATTCAGAGTTTTTGCATGGTCTGTGAGAATTTTAAATCAATTAATTTATCTCTTATAAACCAAAATTTCGCCAATATAGGTTGTTTATTAATCTTTACTAATATTCAGGTAGCTCGTATTTGTTCGATTGGTTCATACATCTCCCGTCGATTATGTATTTTGCTTGATTTGGAACGGGGAGGTGTTGATTTTGTACGAATGGTTTTTGTTGATATTGATCTTACAAGGTAAAAAAAGGATTCTTTTTAAACATTTATTTTTTTGAACAGAATTTTTGATGTGTCAATAGCTGTGTTATAAATCTTCCGTTCTTTCCAGAATCGTCGCTTCGATGATCGAAAAACATTTGGTATCTGGGGAGTCTTTATCAGAGAACATCCATCTATTTCTGGTTCGGTCACTTATGGAGTCTTTAAATTCTCAGAAATCATGAAAAGTGTGGAAATTCTGTTATAAAACATGTTACTTCAAATCATTTGCTTTAATTTTTCTTTTTTTTCGTAGCAATCCTGCTATTCCTCAGTCATTTTCTATAAAAATTAAAAATTTAATGATTTTTCGGAGTTGGAAATTAAATGATGATTTTTGCTGCATTTAATAATATTCAACCGATATATCTTGGTTTTCTTATAAAAGAAGATTCTGAGTCGTTTGTTTTATACTTTTAAAGACACAGTTATGGATCTCTGTATATCTGTTTTATATTTTATACGTTTTGGAGATTCACTGTTTGATGAATTTGTTTGTTGAATATTAAGATTTGTTTTGATTGTATTAAGGTTTTATTTTACTTAGACGTGTTTTTCTTGCAGTTGACCGCGTAGTACCTAGGTTTATTTGCTGTCTTTTAAACGCAGTTCAAGTAGCTCATCGGTGCTGCCTAGTTTGGACGGGATGTTTATTTTCTTACAAAAGAAACAAAATAGTTCGTCTTTTCTGCTGCTTTTATTGTGTACTTTGTAAACTTCCCGTTGTTTTATTTAAAAGAAATCCATATATGTTTCATTTTTTGATTTGATGCAAGGAAATTTCTGCTCTTTTGTATATTTCCTTTAATTGTAAACTTTTTTCACTTATATGTATAAACTTGGTGACATGCGTGACCGCTGATTACTCTGCATGACAGTAGCAAATTGAGTATGTCTCATATCATATCGTTTCGAGACGCTGAACTTTTATGTATGTGCTTTTTGTGCCATCAATTTTTCACAAGAACAGGACATTATCTGGTTTATTCTCGGTATATTTGAAAGAGAAAAGGAATTATTTTATGAGAAGAATGGATTTAAGCCCGAGAAGTTCTTTCAAGAAGGGCAATAGCAGTGTGCTGGATGAACATATTGTATTGATGCGGTGAAAAAGGATGATGAAAGGATGCGCAACATTATGTGGGAAGATGTTTGAAGGAGTGTTTGAATGCTCGATATACATTTGGATTTATCGTGGCAAGGTCACTTCAAACTAAGGGAATTTTCTTCCTGCCCTGCGATGTATGGAAATGACTCCTCAAGCTACATTTGAGCTTTTCTTTTTGTACGTTAAGTTCACCTGAAAATGATCATGTTTTTTCTAGCTTTTATGTTTTCATTTGTTTGATTTATCTTGTTTCAGTGGTGTTTCCTATTTGAAGAAGCAAATTTCTTCTAATTTCTTTTTCTTTTGCCATTCTTACCTTATTTACAGCTTGGACCCAGTTGAACATTACTGTGGTTAATTTCGCAAGAGGTCAGGGTTGTTTAATGTATGCTGGAAGAAAAAAACGCATGCTGACGTAATACCATCATATGCTTTCAACATTAGTGTATTTGAGGCTTATTCTTATTATCCATCAAACTGACATTTGTGTAAGTTATGGTCCTGAACCAGTTCCAAGTGTATCAGTTAGCAATTAACCTGTTTTCCTAATTATTTTTCATTGTAGGCACAGTTTGTTCTTTTTCCGTGTAGGCAGTCATATATGGTTATGGCTTGCCTTGTGGATTATATTTTTCTGTAATTAAATGATCAACCAAAAATGTCTCTTTATGGTCATTTTGTGTCTACCATTCCCAGCCTATAATCAACTTTTCCCAGTTAGCTCATTAAGTTAGCTCATATTGTTAGTGTAATAAAATAGATAGATCAGATGATACATTTTTTTCTGTCATTTGGTTGATTATTGCAAGTTTTGGAACGTACTGAAGTAGTTATGCCTAATCAGCATTGCTTTGCAGTCGATGACATTTTGTTCCGGTTGTTTTTTCCTTCCTTTAAAAAAAGCGACATTTCAAGAACCAGTCTTGTTGTGTGGTTATTTGCAGTTAAAGTACACCGTAGAAAACTGTTGAAAATGTAATAAATAGGCAGTAATCTGCAGGTGACCTATTTGCATCTTTCTTCTGAAGCTCTTCTTTATTGCTCTTTCATTTCCTTCAGTTTCTTTGTTCATTTTCATTTGTTATTTTTTTGAAAATATTATGTAGGTCTGAATATTTCTGCGAGTACAACACATTATTGATTGTTTCCCTTCCAAATATTTAGTCCTGGATTTTTTTTCAGAACCCAATTGCTGTAACTATAAACTGACTATTATAAATAATTTGAACTACCACAAATCAGACACGAACATAAGATGTACTATCAAATTATAGAAATAAATTGATGTGTTCAGATCCATCGGATTGGTGACGCGTTAACATTGTGGTTGGGTCGCAATGAACTAGTGTGTATCACATATGGGCAAAGGTTAAACGGAGCTCCACAGAGAGATTCGAAAACTTTTTGGCCATTATATTAAGTAGGTGATGCCTGTTTGCATCTCCAGAACACTTAAGGTGTGCATACGTGTGTGTGTCCTTATGTACCATTCTAAATCTGGTCCTGGATATTGAAAAAAAATTAGACTTTTAGCGTAGTTGGCAAGTGATAGGCCAAGCGTGGTTGAATGGACCATATTCACTGTTTTAGTGAGATACATCACACTGGGAGCATTTCATTATCGAATTCACAGGTCTTAGTCGGTCAAAACTTTGTAAATAATTCCTTTCAGTCTTAGGCAAAGGGTTGTGTTATCAGAGATATGATGAAATGGATGACCATGCTGTGCAAGTGATCAATCAGAGTTAGGTAGGATCCATCAATATACAATTACACATTAATTTAATTTTTCGAAATATCATAATTTATTAGAGCGAAATTTTCCTTTTCCTTGTTAATTGATATCCAACAAAGATGCGAGTTTCTATTTTGGATCATTATTATTTAAATTTTTAAAGTGCAATATGCATAGCACGTCAGTTACATTGAAGAAAGGCCAATGAAAGGAGGAATGGATAAATAAAGATTGTAACGATGGTATGGATGAGGAACAGTGCATTTGACGGTAATTATTTCGAAGCAGTTTGCAATGCAAGATTTGTGCTTTACTTTACCATAAGCTAATTTTTCCTTAAAAATTGTATACATCTTTTTCAAATACTTTTTGAATTGCTGGTGAAACAATTCTCAAAAAAATAAAAGAAAATTTATTAACTTTTAATAATAAATTTGTAGAAAAAAACTGATTTTTCTTTTTGATTGGGAAGTTTACAGAACAAAAGAAGGGTGAGTTTTCAGGGTGAGGTGGGTGAGTTTTCGAAATTTCCTGTGTTTTTTTCAAAAAACAGATCTGTAATTAGTATTTTCAAACTCACCCACCCACAGATGGTTTATAATTTTGCCTGGAAATTTTCACACAAAATCGATGTATCAATAAAATACATGGAATCCTTAAAACACCTAATTACAGCATAGTTTTGAAAACTAAAAAAGAGATACATTGGAGGATGAAAGATTGAATTCATCCTTTTATATTGTATTTTATATTGTATCCTTTTATATTGGAATTCTATATTGAAGGAAAGTCAGAGAATGGATTTAAGCAATATGTTCTGGTAAATTTGAATTTAACTGATAGGAAATTTCAATTTTTCAGATAGAACAGAAGGCACTATATCGATATTTTCGCTGACAGAGAACAGTGCGGTACAGGAAGGATGGTATGACCGAGACTTGACTTCACTTTTATCACGTCGAAAAAACACTACGACCTTTTGAACTCCAATAAAAATGCACGAAATAACGTAACATATAAGCTTGAAAATTTCCTCGGCTCTTTTCCTTGCCTTCCTCTCACCCTTTTCCCTTTAAAAAAAAGAATGCTTTTTTTTCAAATGTATAACACCTGGACTGATAAAATTTCTGAAAGACTATCTTTTTTTAAAATAAGGAAAGGAGAGTGGTGCAGAATGCAAAAATTTATTTGAACTAGAAGCTAAGCAAGTACTTCATTATCCACTGGGTGTAAATTGAAATATTCTTTGATTAACAGTTGTTTCTAAAGACTTATGTGTTCCTCACTTTGTACAAAGGTGTTTCATTTGGATTCAGGAAGATGTTAGGTAGTGGTGAATGTGAAGGAGTGAGGTAATGTGACCTTACTGAGGAAGTCCATCATAAGGAACTTTGTCTTTCTTTTTCCAAGTTGTCTTTTAAATTTGGTAAAAAAGAAAAAGAAGATAGTTACAGAGACTGTTATAAATGAGAAATTGAGAAAAGGAGAAAAATATAGATAATGTAGTGTTGATTAGTGTGGAATGCAGTTTGATATCTTCTCCATCGTCTTCGCCCCCATTCCAAGAGGTACTTGTGATTTTATGTGCTGATTCGTCTTTTATTTGCATGCCTTATAACCAGGTATTTTAAATAGTTGCTTCGCTTTTCGTTTATTTTACCCCTCCCAAATCATTTGATTACAATAATTCGGCAACTACTAAGGGAAGGGTGAATGAGATCACAAATTCCCGTCGATTGAATGTTCATCCATTGGTGTGACGTGTTTGTCTCGTATGTGTGTTTCATTGAGGGCATTCTTTAAAATGCCTTTGCTAGATCATTTCAGACAATTTCTTCTCTTTACAGCTCCAACTCCCTATCTCTTTACCCGAAAAGTTCTCGTCTGATGGTATCCTAATGTCTTTTCACATCTATCGTTTCAATTTTAATAATGATCGTTTACGTCTTTTGAAACATTTCATTCACTTCACATGCCGTATGCCAAAATCGTTTCTGTGTCATTTTCATCTTTAACCAATTATCATTTTTTCTTGCAATGGTTTTTCGTGAGTTATCTTCTTGAAAATTTGTTACGAATATGCTGTATTTAGCAGCCATACCAAAATGTAGCTTTATGTTAATATTGTCATATATAAACCTCCGAACAACCAGATCGCATTAAAAGAAATCAGTATATATGAGATTGTTGAACTACTTTTATCTTACTTTTATCATCTTTGGCGCGCCATTTTACAAACATGAATTTATCACTTATACCTTAATTGTCGCAGATGAAGTGAACGAACACTACTGTAATGCATATTTGCTTTGGTCTTTTTTTCCTTCTATTTGTTAATAACTGCCTACTAATCTGTTTGTCCAATGACAAACACTAGCTGAATATTGATTTGTTATGTTTTAAAAAGTGAAGGTAGAATATGAAATCTTTATCACAACTATCAAATTTCAATTAAAGTTATGGGTATCCTATTTTTGTACCATATTATTCACTTGCTTTACTTCGAAATAAAACACAAAAGCACGTAACCAAAAGTTTTTATATATTATTAAATATTTGTTGTTTTTATTTTAAAGGATAAGAAAGTAACTATGAATTGTTCGTCAGTTGAATGTAGCTTATATTGCGTTTTCAAGAACATTTCGTAAGGTGCCAAAAGTCGACCTTGAACTGATATTAGGTATCCAGTAATGCTGCAGTGATGGTCGCCTTGCCTTTCGATTCTTGCCGTCCGCAATCGGTGCTGATGTTGATGGTGTGGTGAACTGATTGAAATGCGTCATAAGTCCGCCATGTCCCGATTGTAGTAACAAGATGAGTGCATCACACCTATCATTTGTTGTTCTGTCCATCGTCTTCATCCAATAACTTGTCACAATTTCAACAGTGTTTGTGAGAAATTATGCGAATAATTTTAAGTATAAATTAGAAAGGTTTTTTTTTGAGCTTTACTATTCCATATTAGTCTCAATGGCTATGAGGACTGACTTTTACCTACACAATGTGTACCGCAACGTTTCTATGAACCATTTGAAGTATAAGAGAGATATGGTTCGTGTAAAATGTATTTTCCACTCAATTCATCACCCATTTTCAATATCTTTTTCAGATTCCGCATTACATATTGTTTATTTCAGCATCTCGCACCATAACTTTCCATTACTTCCAATTCGTTTCTTCATTTCCTCCAGATCTGCGCCTTTGTATGTATCAGTATCAGTTATACATACTGCTTATAGAGGGGAAATAAAGAAGAGTTTCTTCGGGAGCAGACAAAGAGGTACTGTACTCAGAAGTGTTTGCATTTGCTAGTGATGTATTTCCTCATAATTCTTCCTTTTTTAACGATGGTTCTCGGAAGATCGGTAGGAATGCAAAGAATGGCAGGGATGACAAAAACATGATTTATTTCTGATGAAATAGTGGTGAGTAGTGCGGTGCTGATTCAAATTCCACGTAGGATCCAATGAATGAATGATACAAATATAATGAACCATGGAGATGTGGGTGGCCTTTACATGTATTCCATTAAAAACATCCCATGTTATTTACACTGTTAACGAACTTATTTACTGCGAATCATTGTAGAAATGCTTCAAAATTATTTCCGAACTATCAACTAGATTCGCTTCTATTAGAAGTGATCAGAAAGCAACCATTTTTGATAATAATCCTCGCACATTGTGTTCAGTTTCTCAAGGAATTACTATAAATAAATTTCCATTTTTGTATTTCTTTTTCAAAATTTGAATTTAACAAATACTCTCTCTTACTCGACATAGTATTTCTAAGGGTTATCGTGGTATAAATTTTTCTAGCATTCTAAAATTCTATGTATTTCAGATGGATTTCCTGATTAATTAGCTAAAGTTACCGAAGTATTGTTCCTTCATGACTATTCTAGATATTGAATACTTCAAATACAGTCCTTCATTCTCAAAAATTTTCGCCTCTATCCTGATTCTGCCCTGTAAGGCCATCCATTTACAAGAAGGACATTCTACTAAACCTTACTTCTGAGGACACGTTATCACCGTCCTAGCAGATGAACCTTAGAAGTAAAAAGTGGGCCGATTACGCGCACGTTGTGCTTCACCACAAAAATCCACTGCACAGATTTGCATTTGTAGCAAGCGTGAGCAGAATCCTTCCCAAATCATGGTTCGTTAAACCTAGCTGCAATGATGATACGTGTGTATGTCTGTGATCGTTGTCAGGTAAGGAATGTTATCCAGTTAAAATAGTAAAAAGTGCTCATTTAATATTAAATTTCTTTTTTAAAGATACCTTTTGATTGCTTAGAAATTTAATCCTGAACTTAAATTCAGGCTCAATTTGGAGCATAAATTGAAAGTCATCTCTTTATTCGTCTAAAAGAATTTTGAAAATGCTTCACTATTTACATTTATGCAATAGCAATATATTCCCAAGAACCACGGAAAAAGCTATGGGACGATAAGTACCACTTAATTCAAAATCATTTGTTGAACTAAAATCATAGGACAGTAAATTAAAAGAATTGAAAATAAACAAACTATTAATCACACTAAGATCAATTCACATAGGCAGTGTTTTTCTGTTTCCGGAAATATATTTCATGATGAAATTAAAATATCAATCATGGGAAAGCGAAAGAAAACGATGAGAAAATTGTACAACAACGTGGTTTTAAAGTTTCATCTGCAAATTAAAGTTGAGCGTGGGCTACGAACTTCGTTCGTTTGGGAAAAAAATTGCGATGACTATAAATGCTGAAAGTAAATTATCGGTAACATATCAATTATCAGTGATTGAAAATGATTTTCGCTGTTTGAAATTTGAGTGTTGATATTTGAAGCGAAAATGGAACTAGAGTCTTTTCGAAAGAAAAAGTGACTGGAAAGATTATCAGTCTTTCAGTCTTCCTGATCTTGATTAGAGAGGAACAAATCGGTGACATTAAGTTTTCTGGAAGCGCTCTTGTCCCATCCTCCCTTCAATGTCAGCATTCAAAAATACTTCTCTGATCAGTTTATATCAAACTCATAAAATGCTCATTTAGGCGAATTTGTTTATGCATATTTAGCGAATTTGTTTATGCATATTTATTTATAAACCTGATATAACGATATTTGAAGAACT